TTTGGCGAAATTGTCTAGATTCCTTTCGGTATACGGAGGCTTTACCTTGTCTGTTGCGATGTGCAAGTTACCAGTCCGTGTCCAAATGCGTGACATTTTTTCGGAAGAGTCATATGATGGTGCAATGGGGGTATATTTTTTCTGAGGTCTCGTTTGGAAAATAGGCTTACTGCGGGAACACTTCGCGTAACTGTGATGGGTGAGTTGAAAAGCTTTCCGCTGATGGACAGATCTTCATCGTATTTGAAACAAATGATCATTTCTTGTTTGATCTTTTTCGATGGCTCGTCGTTTTGAAATATGTGGGTGAGGTAGAATTTGAAGGCCTCACTGGAGACGTAGTCGGTAAAGTTGGCGACCATCTCTCGTTCCGACCATGATGCAGCGGTAGCGTGGAGCTCGAACAGGTCGAACCAGTCCTGTACAGGTCCATCGTCCGCTGCTCCAGTGTACTTGGGGATGGGAAGGTCTGTCGATGGTTCTTTCATGATGCCAGTAACTGCATGCGTCTGAGATCACCTCTTCTGTGGTCGATATTCAGTTCAGCCGTACCGCCGGTGGCTTCGTGAATGATGTGAGGTTGATGAGCGGTGGCCAGGTCTTCATCCTGTCGGCTCGTGTGACGCTATGGTGACTGGGAGATGTGCCCTGGCTCATATGCCATGTTTATTCCATTCTCACTTCTGCTTCATCTACCTCTACCAACTCCTAACCATCACTACCTTCTTACGTTATATATATATAATGTGTGTGTGTGTGTGTGTGTGTGTGTGTGTGTGTGTGTGTGTGTGTGTGTGTGTGTGTGTGTGTGTGTGTGTGTGTGTGTGTGTGTGTGTGTGTGTGTGTGTGTGTGTGTGTGTGTGTGTGTGTGTGTGTGTGTGTGTGTGTGTGTGTGTGTTACGTCGTCCGTCAATCCCTGTGCGTTGGTGCAAGCAAAGTAGACACAAGCTGGTAGAGTGGGCGTTTATCTGCAGTGTACGTTGCAATATAAAGACTCAAAGTAAAGAGGGAAAGGGAAACAAGGTAAGTGAAACAAGAGATAGCTTTGGCTATAACTGAGCCAAAAACTGATAAAGGTTACACTTCAGTTACAACACTTCTCCATCAATAATATTGGAGACGCTGCGCAGGTTTCCGCTGTCGTGTTGAGCGCCGGAGTTCTGTGGTCACTGTAGGTTCCCTGGACTTCTGCTTTTTCTGGCCTTAGGTTGGGGATGATGACTGCAGCTGGTGTGGTGGCTCACGGAGTTCCGTCTTTGTTTGGCCCTGATCTGGAAGTTTCTTGCGTAGTTCTCGACATAGGCATACTTTCCCCTTCCCTGTCATGGTGGGGTTCAACCGAGTCTCTCCTTGTATGAACTTGATCCACAAGTCTCCGAACAAGGCCCTTTGGTGTCTCGTCACCATCCTCGCTCCGTCGGCTGACTTAACTGGGCTGGTCTTACACTTTTCACTCTTGCCAAAGTTGCGGATGTAAACATTCGTGTCCGGTGCCAGGGTCCACTCATCTGATTCACCTGATCTTCCTGCAATCAAGGGGGGAAAGCACGTGTCCAGACGAGATCGAATTCGGTAGCCCAGGAGAAGCTCCGAAGGAGACTTGCCCTATGCGAGGGGTGTTCTCCTGTAATTTAAGAGTAGCCTTCAAAGGCAATCTTCTAATCCGCCCTGGTTAATCTTCTTCAGCCCGTCTTTCACGGTTCGAACAGCTCTCTCTGCAAGACCATTTGACTGGAGATGAAACTCGGCTGTGTGCAGGTGAGTTATGTTGTTCTTATTCATGAAATCGGCAAACGTTTGACTTGTGAATTGCGTTCCATTATCTGAAACATGGGTGCGCGGAATGCCGAACCTGCTGAACAAGCTGCGTAGGCAAGTGGTAGTTGAAGATGTGGTCGCCTGCTTCACTGATACGGCCTCGATCCATTTGCTATGGGCATCTACCAGAACAAGGATCATGCTTCCACTTATTAGCCCCGCGAAATCTACATGTACTCTTGACCAGCTTTCCTAGCATGTCGGCCAGCTAACTGGCGGTGCAGATGCCGGCATTGGTCGATTTTGAATACAGGTTGTGCACCTCACCGACATTTGTTCGATGTCGTTGTCCATTCCAGGCCACCAGAAAGCCGACCGAGCGATTGCCTTCATTGCCGATGATCCTTGATGAGTTTCGTGGAGCATGTGCAACATTCTATGCTGCGCGCTCTCTGGGATGACAACTCTACAGCCCAAATAGAGCAAACGGTGGGCCAGCGAAAGCTCAAGTCTGCGGTCGAAAAAAGGGAGTAATCTTCGTTCTAGTGCTTTAGCACTTGTAGGCCACCCATTCCTTGTGTACTGCACAATCTTGGCCTGCACTGGGTCTCTGGCGGTTAACGCCTGCAATTCCGCTGTCGATACTGCACTCTCCTGTACGGATGCGAGGCCAAAACGTACTCGGGTGGCTCGCCGTTCGCGGTTGACTCGGAAGTTTCTGGTGGCAACCTACTGAGGGTGTCCGCATTCAGGAGCTGCTTGCCTGGAGAATACTGCAGCTTGTAGCGGAATCGGCCCAGATACAGCGCCCAGCGCTGTATACGAGCAGCTGCCAGCGGTGGAGTTGGCCGATCTGATCTCAGCAGGCCCAGGAGCGGCTGGTGGTCTGTGACCAGTATGAATTCTCGGCAGAACCTGGGTGTGACTCCCTCCTTCAGCTGAAGGTGTGCCTCAGGTCCTTTGATGAGGCCTAGTTCCGAGCTGAAGACGTCTGCAAACTCGGAGATTAGATCTGAAAGGACCTGTGTGTTCGTAAACAGCTGTGCAGTCGGCGACTCAGCTGAGAACAGGGGCGCCTGTGTCGCTCAGAAGAAAAATTAGGTCTTGGCCACATTAACTTGGACCGCAGCAATCTAGCACTACCAAAGGGCATTTTATGGTTGCAGCAACGTACGATACCGGCAACAGGATCTCTCCAAAGACTGGCAATTTTCCCAAATAGCATGACAGCTTTATGCGTGATGGCTTCAGCGGAGGCCAAGCGTTCTTGTGCTGCTCAAATACCTAGACGTGACACGTTGCAGACCGGTGAACCAGTGTCAATAAGCATTGATATGTCAACACCTCCCCACGTGATGTTGCGCCGTATTGGGGGCTTCACAATTTCTTCCCGTGTTGATCTTAGTGTCCAAATGTGTAGGCTATCATCAACGTCTTCATCTGTTTCCCCTTTGTTAACAGCCAGGACTCGGGTGGCGTGTTTTCGAGGGTGCTTGTAGAGTTCGAGACTTTGCGGTTTGATCGTTCTGGCATTTTCGAGCTAGATGACCGCGTACACCGCAACGATAACAACATGCGTGATTCCAACGGCAGGCATTACTGTTAAGTCTCACACTGCCACAACGCCCGCATTCAGTGAGTACCTATTTGCTCGTGGAGGACTGCATCTTGATTCTGAGCACAGCTGATGCTTCGCCGGCCATTTTACGGGCAATATTCTCTGCCGCTTCAGCTGCAAGGGCCATTGTTTCGACGTCCTTTAACTGTCAGATCTTTCTTTGTCAGCATCTGCTTCTGCAGCGCACTCGATCTGATGCCGCACACTATTTTATCCCGCAGCATTCGTTCGAGCATGGTATAAAAATTGCAGTTGTCCGCGATTCTCAGTAATGAATTCTTGAACAGACTCACCGTCCAGCTGGCAGCGGTTGAAGAAGCGGAAACTTTCGGCAATCTCATGGCGCTTGGGATCAAAGAACTCGTCCAAGGCTTTCACAACGTCATCGTACTCCAAAGAATTAGTCTTCTTGGGCACTATTCTTCCTGATAGTATCTGAACAGTGCGAGTTCTTAAGACTGCCACCAACAACGCCCGTTTCTTGGCTGACTCTGTCACCCCTGTTGCCTCAAAGTATGCTTCTGCCTTGATGACAGACGCCTTCCAGATGTCTTTCTCGTCATTGAAGTCCAGCAGTTGCTGGTGCGCCATCAGTCGTATCTGACATCCTGCTTGAATCCAGGGTTTTTCTTTCTGTTTCTCGTCGCCACTGTTACGTTGTCCGTCGATCCCTGTGCGTTGGCACAAGCGAAGTAGATACAAGCTGACAAGCTGGTAGAATGGGTGTTTATCTGCAGTGTACGTTGCAATATAAAGACTCAAAGTAAAGAGGGAAAGGGAAACAAGGTAAGTGAAACAAGAGATAGATGCTTTGGCTATAACTGAGCCAAAAACTGATAAGGTTACGCTTCAGTTGCAACAATATATATATATTATTGATACCTCCGAACTTAGTTTTCAAAGTAGGCGTTGCAGGCAAGAACTCCGCATGCATTGAAATGACTCAAATTTCTTGGGAAACCGGCGATTTGAAGGTATGTATACATTGCGAATTCCGCCGAGCTGTATTTTAATAAGTTCTTTACAATTCCAGAAAGAATGGGTAAATCTTGACGCGCTGACGTTGCGAGAAGCATGCGACATGCTGCCCGCGGGTCGTCACTGTATTGCAGTGAAGCATGTCTTGTTTTCTGCAGGTGCACATTTTACGAAATCCTTTTTAAATTTTTTTTTCCCGATAGAAGTATCTAGAATGGGGTGCTTCAGCTGCCACTCATTATTATCACTACAATACAATGCCTAGGGGCTCTTAAGGGCCGTCGTTTCCTCAGATTGAAGGTGAAATCTGTGAACGGTGATTGGCACACTGCACCCAGAGTTTTCGAATTAGATGGACTGGTGCTGACTGCCGCTTCAAATTACCTGCTCATTTTTACATTTCAAAATATTGGACTGATGAAATATTTCAAATTAAGCAGAATTTTGAAATAATCGAATTCAAATTATTGACTCTTTACTGTACCAGCTACAAAGGCTCGTGCATTTCTTCTGCCTACATTTAACTGAATTGAAGAGTAGGCTCAAATTTGGCATTATATTTGGTCATCTGGTTGATGCTTTTGAAATTTCTCTGGACTCTCGGAAACAGTGTGAGCCTGTTTTCAACCCGTGCCGGTTCTTGCAGGACGACTCCTCCGACCCGCTTGAGGGTGACCCATGCTACCTAGCTCCGGAGCTGATGGGGGGCGATTTCACCAAGGCAGCAGACATCTTCAGGTAGCATTGACTCACTTGCATGTTTTTATTTCACAATTGTGGCGATTGTAGACTCTTAAAATAAGAAAGCAGTATAATTGCATAAAGAAAATGTTTGAGCTATGTGATTAGCGAAAATTTTGAGTGTGAAGCAAATGAGAATATTAGTGTTAATCAAGTTGAATATTTTTTGAATATTTCTTAAACACTTCCAGAATATATTACAATAGTTCAAGGCAAAATTGGTGGGAGAAGGGGGGAGGGGGTTGGAGAGGACCCTTAAGCATATTCTTATGCGATATAGCTACATGCAAGTGTTTCTTTTTGCTAGGTTGATAAAGCACTGGCGGGGGGTATTTCATAGTTGTCTTATCTACATTAGGACAATGTAGAGGCCAAATGGTATTCGCACATGATTTGGTGCAACCAAGGTGTTGCTGACTACACTACATCTGAAAGGCGGAGATTATATTTTCTCAGTGTCTCCCCCCTTTTTGAACTTCTGTGTAAACTCGACTGATGCGATGGGATAAGGGTCTGCTCTCTTCAAGTTAGAGTTCCAAATTTGCCTCGTAGTCGTCAGCATAGAACAGGATCATGAAATTTTAGATGCTAAAAATTTTCAGCGCCCGATTCTTCGGTCTTACTGCTAAAATTTCAGGTCCAAGACATGCATTGAGTGAACCCAACTTCTGCCACATCTATCATCTCCATGTTGGAACCAGCATTTTCTGATTCTAGTCAATAAATTTACAACCATAGCAGAGCTTGAAAGGCAGCTTTGCTGCAAAGCAAAAACGTGTTCAGGTGGAATATAATAAAGATTTGAAGGGGTCACTTTTAATTGGACGTTGGCTGCATTTGTTTTTGGGAAGTTTGAATAGTAAAATTCCAGTGCAAACCAAATCGAATTGTGAAAACTTAAAGTTTTCGAATATTCGCGCACCCCTACTGATTTTTCAATAGACTTCATACAGGCAAATACTCTTGTCTGCTTTTTTCAGTCTTGGCATTACAGCACTTGAGCTGGCGTGCGACCTAGAGCTACCCAGTCGAGGTGGCAACTGGCATGCTCTGAGATCGGGAACTCTGCCCCACTACATTGCTCAGTGTATGTACTTCTCTGTGTGTGCTCTTTTCAATTCAACCTTTCTCTTCGTGCTTGTGGTGCGCTGCAGGGTAAGGAAAAAAAAGTAACCAGAGACGACACAGTTTTTTTCCTTACTGTGCAGCTGATCACAGGCATGAATGCGTACCAATTAGCCCCCGTTGCTTCCTTGTTAACCTTTCTCTTGTTTTTGTTGAAGAATGTGAATTTATGCCTTTGCAGGTCTCTCTCCCCAACTGCGCAATGTAATCCCACAAATGATGCACGCTGACCCAAAACGGCGGAATCACTGCAGACCAGCTGCTAGCCCTTCCCTGAAATCCGCAGGGTGCACTTTTGGCGACGGCTCTATGTGACGCGAAGGAGAGCTGTGAGCATTTTCTGTGTTTCCATTCTTCTACCTCATAAAGAAGGTGGCCTGATCGAAACTCTGCCTCGGAAATGCTTGAGGCCAGTGTCCTTAGATTTAGGTGCACGTTAAAAGAACCCGAAGTGGTCAAAATGCCTCATAATTGTATTGTGATTTAGGCACTTGGAACCCCATCAATTTTCATATAAAGCTGTGCGCCCTATGAAAGCAGGTCTAGGCCTCTGTCTTGTTTGTAACATAATGGTGACAGGGCATGCTACTATAAACACTTTCTTTGGCTGCCCAACAGAGAGATGAGGCTTTTCTGATGAGTCCAACAAATGCAAAAAAAGAAAAAATGGCAGTGTAGAAAAATAATAATAAAAACTAGGGGTGTGCGATTATTCGAAATTAGAATATTTTTCTAATAGCGTTTGCTATTTGATTCAATTTTTAATGGAATTATCGCTATTCGAACTATCCGAACTTTCCAAAGACAAATAAAGGCAACTTATACTAAAATAGTCCTTTCTGGTTTTTAAATGCTTTACCACGTTACATTTTTGTGTTGCGGCAAAGTTTTTTTTTCAGTCAGCTGCAGTGGTGGCAAATGTATTGACTTAAAAAAAAAAAAAAAGTAACGCAGAATCCAACATGGAGATTAGAAGTGGGTGCTCAATTATTGCTATTTCGGACATTAAATTTAGGCAGGAAGGTGGAAAAATGAGACGCCAAAGATTTTTAGCATCATAATTTGCAGATATTCTTGTATATTGACATCCGAGGCAGATTTGGAAGTCTGTACTCGAAGAGAGCATAACCTTGTTCACCGCATCAGTGGGGCTTCCACAGAAGTTGAAAGCAGAGAAGAGGCTGAGGAAAGAGCGTCTTGTTCTTTGACTTGTAAAGTGTTGCCGACAACACTTATGTTGCACGAAATCATGTACATAAATATAATTCAGCCTCTGCATTGCCTCTTTCTTTATAGGGCCACTCACCAGGTTTGACAATTTTGAGCCGACAAGTGCAATGCATAGATGAGGCGTTCATGATCACGTCTGCCAAAACTTGCAACGATACGCATTGCGGAAATGGGTCAAATTTCAAGATGAACGCTGCTCCCCCTCTTCTCTGCCAGCGTACGCCTAGAGAATGAGGACATGACGTGGGCGTATCAATGGCCCTATGTACATGGCAATGCAGTTACGTTGGTCCTCTTGGTAGACAACTCTGCTCTGACGTTGTCAATAGCATACCACGTGACATGGCAAAAATTATTTAACACAACATGAGCAGTTTATGTATTTGTTGCTTTGAGATATTATTAAAACTTGAAATAAATAATGAGACGCAATAAAAAATTGCACGCATTTTGCTTTGATTTTTTCTCATGAAATGCTACGAGATGCGGGGCTAATGTGCCAGCGTTTCGCATGCGTTCATGTCCCCGCAGTCAGCGTATCGAGAAGACGACCGCTGTAAAACGCTCCTACGCGTTCGGGCACTCATTTTTCTCATCTGCTCTACCGCGTCTGAGCCAGCGTTTTAAACCATCCCGCAGAAATAGGCAGAAGACCACAAAATAACGCTGGTCAACACAGCAACGCTGATTGTGTGCTGGGGGATCGGACTTGTTTAGGCACGTCATGTGCACGTCAACTCATGGTCAGATGCTGGAGAGGGTGGGGAAGAGATTTGGCTTGCGAAGGCTACGCGGAGGAGTGGCGAAGAGTTTCGAGCTCGCCTCCTGTCATCCTCGTTTCGCACCGCTTCAAAAAACTTGTTTTCTCCACTTGTGATCAACCGAATTCGAAAAATTTTTCTGGCAAAATGTTTCTCATCGCACACCCAACAACTTCCTCTGTCTAACTAAAATTCGGTATTGGGCCTGGTGAGTGGCCTTTTAATAAACAACTATGAAACACCATCCCACCAGGGCTTCATCAACTTAGCAAAAAGAACTTTCATGTTGCTGTCTCATAAAATTATACTTATGAACCCTCTCAAATTTTTTCTGCAATTTTACTTTGAAGTATTCGAAAGATATTCTAGTAATATTCCAAAAATGCTGGATTCAGTTGGTACTCACTCTGTAATATTTGAATTCGCTTCACAGCCAAAATTTTGCTATTCACGCAGCTGAAATAAAAACACTCGCACGTGAATGAAGCAGGACAAGTGCTGTCTTTTTTTTTTCCTGCTGCAGTCTTTTGCAGTTGTATACGAATGTTCCCAATTTTTCACATTAATCAAGAAAATCATGAAATTGACTTTCAAGGGTCAGAAAACAGTCACATTTACTTTATACAAACAGTATTAGTCAATAATGGGAAACTAAAGGCAACTATTAAGTTGACGTTGATTGTTGAAATGGCGGCCCAGAAACCTTGTAGTATTACTTTTGTGCCAAGGAAAGACCTATTTTGAAATAAAATTACGTTTAGTGGTCCGCATCGGGTTAGCGCACTTCAAATTACCTGCCTCAAGAAGCGGACCGACCGGACCGACTCACGTCACTGTTGCCTTACACAACGTTGCCCTGCTTTACTGTGCTATTTGCAGCAGATTGAAAGCAGTGGGAGCAGCAGCAGTAACAATGGCCATTGATCAATTTCCCACCATTAGTTCCGAGATTGGAGACGTTTTTTGGTACAACTGTGCCCCGCTTGTAATTACGCGAAAATTTAATTTTTGAACCACTCGCGCCATTCGCTAGTAATGTCCAGCGGTTATTTTTTCCATGAATCAAGCAGAAACGATCAAGCAGAATTTTCTTGTGCCTCTTGATGCACTGAAGGTTATTTAGTGCCTCTAGATCGATTACTAGTTAGTGATTAATTGTGAGCGGTCCAACTGATGTCACCAGGATAATTTTGAGAATTTCCTACTGTGGCGCATGTGTTCTTGTGAATTCACCTTAATTTCTCGGTAAGTAGGGCAGTGTTGTTGATAATATTTTTGTTTCAGATGTTGTCATACATTGAGCTTTCACTCTGACGTAAATTGTTATTTGACTTGAGTGTCCCTTCAAGGAAAGTGCCGTGGCTTGACAGGGTTGAGATGAAATTCGCTGCTGATTTGGAATTCAAGAGCAAATTTAATGCGCAGAGATCTGGCTGCTGAACGGTGTGGGATGGGATTCAAGCCAGCCGATTGGATGTGGTGCATGAATGGTGTGGGGGCAGGAGGGAGAAGGGCTCTCCTGGAATGTCGTGAAATTCCGAAGATGGCAGGTGCTTGCTCGAACCTTTGTTGTAGGTGATTAGTCTCGGCTCATTCCTGCATTCGAGCACCAATTTGCTTTTCAGAAATATGAGCCTTTCAATTCTCAAAGCTCTCAACTGTGGACATGTTCTAACATTTTCGTCCAACTTCCTGCTCTTTAGATCGCCTGTGTCCAGGACCTGCTGCTGCTGACCTTATTCTGGATGCAGTCATTCCTTCAATCTGCCTGGAAGGTTCCAGTATCTTGCCTCAAAAGTTTCATCACATCCTCCCATTCCAGTGCCTCCTCTTCGACGTCGGTCCTCAAAGGCTGCCACTTTTCAGATGGTCAGTGCTTAGACGCTTGTCTGCTTGGCTACAGCGTTGCAAGCATTTATCCCATGATGCACCGTCGCTTCGCGAATTACTCGTCATGGCTGGTTTGGTGATAGTAATTGCTTTGTCCTGACCTTGTTACCTTAGCCAGAAAAGTGCTACATTTATCATAATCTCTTCAATTACGGCTAGGCAGTGTAGCTCTTATAGTGATTCAAAAAGCCGTAACACCTCAGGGAAATTAACGGGGGAAATTTACCCACCAATAATATTTTAAGCTCAAGGGTTTATCGTGGACAAGTTCTAAACAGTCTCAGGTTATTTTAACATTCTATTGTTACCGAAGCTGCATTTCTGGGTTGTGTATAGAACTTAAAATACTTTGCTAAAACTGAGACTATTTTGTCTTACCAAATGCTCTAATTTTGTCGACACAGCTATTCTAATTGCGAAGTTACTGATTTTACTGGATTTAACCATGACTAACTAATATGAACCCTAGCAAGCATTGGCGCTGTCCATGTTAACAGAATCTCAAAAAGGGCACTCTTATGCGAGACCCCTAGGACAGGGCTTCAGATTAATCTGCACCATCCAGTGACTACGTACGTACGATTAATCTGACCATCGTGCACTCTAGGATGCAAGTTGTAGCATGTTGCCATTCAGTTTAGTTCTAAGGACTCCTAAAATACCCATGGTCCAGCGCATATTTTGTGCATAAAGAAGCTAAATCAATCCAAGTTTCAGGAATCTATATAAGTGAATTAGAGAGTCACAGATGTAAACTTTTCAGTCTAATAGTTGCAGGCATTGTGTGTTGTCATTATGGGTACTGTTTATGCATTGTCAAAATCAATTTAGGTATGACAACTTTTTTTCTCCCTGTCAGATGAAACACGTGCAGACTCTTCTTTTAATTACGCACTTGAATGTGCACTTGAAGACCAAGACATCTCGGGGTTACACTTCAGTGGATTCGAAAGCAACTTGGGCCAAGGAGAGTACTCGCCTAAAAGGTTTGTTCGAAATATCAGTCCTAGTTGCCATGGAAAGCTGCGAATTCCAATAAGTCAAGGTTATGTTTCACCAGTAGAACAACGCCTCAGGTGTTTAAAATAGGCAGTCTCTCCGCCGCGGTGGTCTGGTGGCTAAGGTACTCGACTACTGACCCGCAGGTCGTAAGACTGAGTCCCGGCTGCGGCAGCTGCATTTTCGATGGAGGCAAAAATGCTGTAGGCCCGTGTGCTCAGATTTGGGTGCACATTAAAGAACCCTAGGTGGTTGAAATTTCCAGAGTCCTCCACTACGGCATATCTCATAGTCATATAGTATTGATTTTGGGACGTTAAACCCCACATGTCAATCAATCAAAATAGGCAGTCTAGATGCCAATAATCCCATATTCATTATTCTGTAAAGCATTGATCTGTTTTGTAGCTGCACACTTCTGGCGATATTGAAGATGCAGGAAATGTACCGAAGCTTTATTTTTAATGTACAGGATCACTTTATGACACAAAGGGTTTGGATGGGGGATGGGCGCAGAATATAGAATGTATGGTAACTGAAAGAGTAGGGGAAGGTGGTAGTGTAATTTCTGGTGCAAATGAAGGTTACCTAATCGTCTACTTAAACGGACACTGCTGCATGTTTTCAAGTAATCATCTAGTGGCATCATTAAAAGAGCTTGCCTCTTTAATAGACTGCCACAAAAAACTTTTGAAACCGTCAAGTACGAAAGGTACTGCAAGGCTTTATTGCATGCGCAAAGCATTTTCTCTCCTGTTACTCCAGCGAGCGTGCTGAAGGCTGTGAAGGGAGGAGGGGGATGACAAGGGAGCAAGAATATGTGTCACGTAGTTGCCACAGATGAGAAGGAAGCAAGAAGATGCTGCCACGTGCCTTTCAACACATAGGTATGTGGTAGCATCTGTAGGTGTCCATGCTAACTGCAGCTAAAGGGTGACACTTGCAATCGCTGCAATGTTGTAAATGCTATATCGGGCAAACCGGGAGGTGTTTGAATGACCGTGTAATGGATCACAGAGCATTGCCAAGGGCCCACCCTTCGTTGAATCTGTGCCTACATCTGAGAGATTGCAAGTGTAACCCTTTACTTCGCAAAACAAAGGTATTGTCCCGGCACAGAGATAGGACAGTGAAAGAAGTTGCTGAGGCTTTTATATTCACAAGTATGGCGACACGTGTGTCACGAAATCTTCAATCGCATTGCACCAACTAGAGATAGATTATCTAATACACACTTTTTTGCTAGTTATACTTGTGTTTCCTTCAATAAAATTTCAGTTACTAGTCTACGCTTGTGCGTGTGCCTTCTGTGTTCTTGTCTCTTTTTTGCACAGTTTTTGCAGTCTCTGCCTGCTGCGACGGAGACCGCGTCCAGATAAAAATTCTGCTTTGGTACATGGGTCGGCCACAATATAGTGGCACAAATGCAAAGCACTGCAACGAGGGGAGCCTAAAGGGTCCGTGTACTATGAGGAAGACTCGCACTACATTTTTTCTTTTTTATTGTATTCTTCAAATCACCGCATCTGCCAGCAATTAAAGCTAGAAACAAATTCTGAGTTTTTCGCGACTGAAAAATGCCACATGTGGTGAACGCTGGAGTTGTCCCCACGGTGTTCTGGCATACGCAACGCCGTTATAAACTCTACACATGCAGCCCATCTTTTATAGCACATACGCCAGCCACAGTTGTGTTGGGGGCGCTGTGACGAGGGCGCCTAGAGTGGCTGAAAGCGCTGAACATTATCTGACACGCTGTGGGGCAGAGTGTCTTCACCTAAATTATTTTTTTACACCGTGGTGGTTTATGCTATCGTATGTCTAGAGAAGAGAGAACAGTTTCTAGCACATTTCGTGAATTATTTGTAGATTCTAGGTCGCATTCTGCGATAGATTTGGCTTGCATACTTTCATGAGCCTATACTATAGATCAGTAGCATTTTTTTGACAATGCTGAATAAGTGTTGCAGGGCCCCTTTAAGTAAAAAATGGAGTTTCATAGGCCATGCTGTGTGTAGAGCAGGTCACTGTTCATCAAGGTATGCAAAATGCCGTAGAGCATGGCAGTGACATGGGTGAAGTTATGAAAATTGGGGACTAGCTGTTATAGACCTGCGATAGCTGAATGCATGTTAAGGTGGAGAGGCACTTGTCCCAATTTCTACAACATAGAATTTTGATGGTGAAGCTTGTAAAAAAACTCTGCGTTAATGCTAGAAATCTGACACTAAGCCATCTTGCCCTTGCTATTTCCAACTTCCTAGTCATCTCTCGCAGTCCTAGGCTGTGCACGTTTATTTTTCTTCAAAGCTCGTGGGTAGCCAAGCATATCTTCAGAGGCAGAATGGTGCGGAAAATTGCCTGATTATTTTTTTCTAGATGTGCATGGACTACTACAATGTATTCTTCTTTCCTCCAACAGGTCGACACCCAGGCCTCTTCGGCATAGGAGTGACCCCCGATTGCGCAGCACACCAACAGCCTTATTCATGTCTCGGCGTGCAAGGTTGGTGAGCTTCATTTTACAGTGAAAGCGGTTATGAGATCACAACTCGGGTCACGCCCCACTGTAAAGTTGTCCGCCGCTGCCACCGATGTCCGTAACCACATCGCGCGAAATTAGAAAAAAAAGAACCTAGCACCAATGACACAGTGGGGCTCAAACCCGGGTCCGTCGGGGGCCAGCCCAGTATTTTACCACTGAGCTACACCGGTGCTTGTGACTTGTCACAACTTGCGCTAGGCAGGCTTGATGTTGGGAAAGCAATCACGTTAATATGACTTACAAAATGTTTTAAAACAGCGAAAGAGCAACCAGTCGTCGCACAATGCGAATAGCGTAACGAGTGGGTCATCCAAAGCTCCAACCCATTACAAAAGCTTGTTCTTGTTCCCCTATTAACTGTGGCGCATACCCACTTCAGCCGTAATTCTTCATCGTTGTCAGCCACTGCATGAACAATTGGCACAAAATTCCTTGCAAGTGTTTAGCGGATACCACACTTCTCAGAAGAATGGCGAAAAATAGCATAGCAAATGCCGGCATACTACCAAAAAATTTGTATTAATAATGCCGTAGTGGGCATCAAGCTTGTGTGCTTGCAGTAGTTACCCAATGAATGCTTGAAAAGGCTCTGCAAGGCTGCTCTTCTAGCTTTCGCTGTGAATGTGCTGCGCCTTATGCGCAGGCCTAGCGTTTTTTTTGTTGTTGTTGTTGCGCAAGATGCTGCCATTGGCATAGTTTTCTACTACAATTTAAAGAAGAGGAGCAATTCAATCTGCTGGCAGTTTAAATATCCTCACAGTGTTGGGTGAAAACGGCATAGGTAGTGAATTTTTAGAGCACCCGCTTCTATTGCTCATGGATCTTGGTTAACCACCAGCCTTTTCTCAACAAGTAGAGGTGCGTTCTAGCCATATGCTTGGTTATGTACTCGTCCCTTAAAGTTGAAGATCTGCAAAGGTCTCTGGGTGCACCTTGTCCCACTACAGCCTGGTAGAATGGTGAAGCATCTGTCGCTGCTATAGGAGAGCAGCGGCTGCCAGGTATCTGCCATTAAAATAGTTGAAATGGGTACTAGTGCACCGTCAGCACAGTGGCATTTCAATGTGCTTGGGTGGATGCAACTGCTGTGGGACATTGGCAGCAAGGGACAAGCAAACCTAAAAATAATGTCACATTTTTCTCAGTATATAGTGCAGAAGGGTGTCTCTGCTCATGTTCCCTTTCTTCGCCTCTCCTGCTTGGTCTACGGACTGCTGTATGTATTAATTAATGAAAAAAAAAAAAAAACCTCCAGAAACTGAACTCGAAGCTATTGTTTAGGTTACCGCCGTAGGTTCAGCATAACAAAGCCAATCCTTTGTGCCGGCCAAGTTGGAAAGTAACATTTCAAAGGCCGTTCACACGTATTGACTGTGACTTGCCAAGTTTTCAGATGCAGCCGCACTGTGTAGACTTGCCCGCTTTCTCAGATTTTCTATAAAGCTTATAAATTTGGGCTTTTTTAAATATCGTCTAGGTTAAAATAGGTTGCTTGCAAAAAGTTTTACTTCTAGCAAGAATTGCTTCTGTTGTCACTAGACTCCTTTTGGTGGTACATGTCCACTGCTTGCAATGTCCTACGCCAATAACTGTTTGTAAAATGCATGTTTGGCAGAAAGTGTGTGTGTGTCTGTACGGTGCATTCATGTTCTATAAAATGCTAAGCATTAGACTTGTGCGAATATTTGAATGAATATTACAGTATTCGAATTCACTTCAATTCAAATTTGTTATTGAAAATTTTGAAGTATTCGAAATGAACGAATAGGTGTCTATTAGTCGGCTCCTAACTCCTGTGAAGGTGGTTTCATTGCAGTGGAGAGCTGCTAAGCCGCAAAAACATTATAGTATTGGAAATGTGCATTGCCGCAAAGCCCCACTTTAAGGTTAAATTTAACCTCGTCTCTCATAACCATATCCTGGTTTTGGGACGTTAAACCACAGATATTATTAAGGTTAAATTTAACATTTTACCATCACATTGATTCACCATTTTTGACGTTCAGAAGCTTCTTATACCGGCTTATATTCTCCAAATATAGCAAATATCAAAGCATAACATATTTTCAGGTTATCACTTGCATTTTACTAAAAGTCAAATCCTGCAATTATTGAGTTTCTTTGAACCGAAAAAACGGCATTTTCACAGATCTTGTTTCAATTTTGAAATATATATATATTGTGCAGGCTACTTGCATCATGACAAATATGCCCATTTTCCTTTATAACGTGTGATATATACTATTCGAATTCGATTCAAAATTATTCGACTAAGATCACTATTCGCTTCAAATTCACTTCGCGCCTAAAATTCTCTAATCGAACAAACCTAAGCATGCAACATCGGCACACATTAGCTCTTAGTACTATTTATTTTGATGGGGAGACAATGCTGGAATGTATTCGGGACAGAACATTTTCCAGATCATTCAAACACTTCATGGTTTATGGCATAGAAGATAAACTTCTGGATTTAAGTAGACCTTCCAGTGCCCTACTTTACCTCTTTCATTAACCGTGGCTATTTGCCATGCATTCTCCGTGCCTGAATTTGGAGTTTGTACTAGGTATCAAAACACTGCTTTAACAAGTGAGGGTTTGAGACTTCTTGACAGCTACGCACAAAAATGGCATAGTGAGACACAAAATGCACTTAGTGCACTGTATAGTTAGTCTGTCAATAAACTATGGTGCAGGGTACATAGTTGATTGGATGCCCTCCAGGCTAAGTTGTCTGCCCTTTTTCTCATTAGCTTTCCTTAAAAAGCACTCGTAGGCACTAACACACATGAAACTGAAAAAAGGATTTTTGTTTGCGGATTTCGGCATCTGTATCTGCCATACTTGGAAAAATCATGGCATTTGTGAACTGCGTCCATTTCAGGCTCCACTCTGCCATCAAGCCAGTGCCTTTCAATCTCAGTGCGAATGATGCAACGGTCAAGAAACTTTTCCCAGTAAGTAGTATGGTGTTTGTAGCAGGTTTATAACTGACAGCACTTCTGTCAATGCCCTGCTGTTCTGCCTCTTCTTGAAGGTATAGATTATGTGCTTTCTTCCAGTGGACATGTATCAAAATCCGTAAAGCAGCTTTTCTATGCCAAAAGAATTTTTGCACCATGCCGGGGAAAGCAGTGTATGTTGTCGTGTGAAGTGTATTCAGTGTGTCAGTGCACAAGTGTGTGTTGCCTTAAAACACCTGCATCAAGAGGCACAGAACCAGGTGTTCTTTTTTTTTTTTCCCAGCATGACTCTCCCTTCTTGACAGCTACTGTTGACGATTGCTCTGGCTGTCGCGTTTGGTACTGCCTGAAACATTTTTGCATCTTACTATACAGTTTTAATTATTCAGTAGCAGCTGCGAAGTACTTCGCTAGATATCTGTGGTGCGATGGTGCTGAGCCATTTAGCATCATGACATCCCCGACCCCTTCCCTCTGGCTATGCACATGAGGTTTTTGCTGCATTTATTTGTAGCCCCAGAATTCTTTTCGTATGCCTTGTACTCGCACACTACTCTTTTGCAAGCATTCTTGAAGCATGCTCCACAGGCTTTTGCTTAAGTTGAACCAGCCACCCTGGCTGAGCACGTGAAACTCGACAATGTACATAACTGCACCTAAGGTGGCCTGCAGTACTACTGTGCACAAATTTTTCCATGTGTGTAAAAGTTGCATTGTGCACTTTGAAAATGTACGAGTTACAATGTCTCGGCTGGTTTGGTTTATCCTAGCACATAGTTTTAGTACAAGAAGGTGCTTAGCAGTGTGCTGTACCACATTTTCATGTGGTAGTTACAACAATTGCGTATTGTGCATTGCTGTATTTTTGTTTTCTTAATTGCAGTTGAATCTAGAGCAGTAGCGCTCCGACATCTGTTTTTTTTAATTTACAATTTAATCCAGGCATTGCAGAATGTATAATCCTTTGGAAAATCAGTGTCTTATTTTATGCCAATAATTGTCAATCATTCTGGTCCCACTTTTTGCGAATTCCTTGATGAGCACACCTTTAAACTCAAAGGAATGCGGGGGTTATCTTGCTTGACAGCACAAATTTGTAGCCCTTTGCTCACATTGGGGCAACTAAACATCATAAAACTCTTGGAGCTTGGCACAGATGAAATATAAGGAGGGCGTATTTTCTTTAGTGGGCTTCTTTCTAGTCGCATCAAGAAACCTTGCTCATTTTCATCTCATGAAAGTGGTATGTCATACCGACAAACGTGCCGGTATGACTTATCGCCGGCTAGGGAATGCGTGTGGCATAGCGCTATTTAATTAAGCCTACTGCACACTTTCAACAGGCGACTACGTGAACGCGCTGGGCTGCCAATCGCTGCTGCCTCGTTATGCGGGACCGTGTTCAAGCGCGCAACGCTTTGCAGAAACCCAAGCAGCTCGCTGTTGTGGAGTTTCGCGTTGCTGGTGGCAGGCACCAAGAAACCTTGCTGTATTGGCGCTAACATGCGCACAGTACAGCAAGCGTAGCACTATTTTAGTCATACTGCACACTTACGATGAGGGACAGCCCGAAAGCGCCTGCGTTCGCTGCCAGGTTTGCTGGAGCATCGAGGAGTGCGCATCACTTGCATAAAGCTCGTCATGACCACGTTAGCCCAACAGGCTCTCGCCGCATCTGTGCTCGGTCTGAAGCAGAGTGGGCTTTTTCTAGGGTAAGCGGATCAATAGACTTGGCGTGCGTCAACTAGGAAAAGCACTGCACACAATTAGCCAATAGACGATTTGACCCTCTGCGACCGTGATGCGTTGAAAAGAGAAAAAAAAAGCTTTTGCTTGCAAGCACATCACGAAAAGAGTATCACGGGCAGCCAAATATGTCCATCTTGCCATACCATGCTACGTATCCTGGACCCCCCAGTGGCCTCTAAATGGTCTTTGGCGTCCCCACCACGTGCTATCGCACGGTTGGGCGGGAGTGACACTCTTTTCTGCACTTCGGCAGAAATGAAGAAATTGATTTGTGGTGGGCACTTTGGGCAATATTTTCTGCAGCACTACATTTATTCCTTTTTTGGCGGCGAGGGTACTCATCCGGAGATGCAAATTTGCAGCTGGTGGTTAATGCGTAGCACGTTTAGTGCGTAGTTATGCCGCCATTCCCGGCAGGTACGTATTAACGAGGTTTCACAGTATTATAGAGAAACTTAAGCCGGTGTTTCTGCCTTTTTGTTTTTATAGCTTCCAACCCCAGTGTCCTTTCTTTTTTTAGGAAATACTTTAAAATTGATTAGTTTACAAGGAGGCTCTTGATTGATAGGCAATATCTTTCTAGCCTATTTATAACTTTGGATGAGGATCTCTATCTTGACGTGTGCTACCTGTTATGTTCAACATTTCACTTAGTTATTTCTTTGCTTACTTGTTTTTGTTTGCTTTATCGTACGCTTTTTCTTTATAGGCAGATGATGAAGTGATGTCTTCAAGTGGCGACGACTCCTTGTAAATGATGTCCGGTGTCCTCCCGTCCTCTTGTTTCAGCTAGTCAACTCAGTATTGCGGTTCAGTGTTGTACATAATGGAATCGCAGCTGTTGTATTAGCAGCATTTAGAAAATGTTTATACAAGCTTTTCTTGTAATTTTACTTGTTTTATAGCTTATTGTTGTGTTCACTTTGCCAGAAGAACACATTTTATATTGCGCATTCACGTGGCAGTATATTAAAACTGGCCGTTGCCAAGATATTAATGTTGGAAGAGTTTTGCATATATTTTTTTTCCATGTGCCCATTGCACTCTTTTTTGTATTCAAGTATTATTGTGTTGTAGTAGTAATTCGTGCTGTATATAAGCTCTGCATGCTTTTTATATTTGATGTTTATGACTTATCTTAATGTTTACGACATATATTTTACATTTATGACACTTTGCGTTTACAACATGTTCATTTGACAGCGGGTAAAATTAAGTAATTTTTAATGTTCTTAGTTTTTTTTATTCTTTAGGGACACATTGTCCTTGTAAGTTTAGTTTTTATTTAATTTTTTTACTATAACCGGCACAATAAATTTAGCAGCATGCTATTGTTGTAGTCAAATGGCCGTTTGTAGTTTGTCAAAATCTGTAGGTTATATTATTATTATTATTATTATTATTATTATATGTTTAATGACGTGTCTTTAATGGCAAACAGGCATTTGACATTGTTTCAGGAAAGTCTGAAAGTTTGTTTCTTTGAACAATGCACTGTAAATTTCAGTCAGTGCCTAACTGTGTCAGACGCATTTAGTACATTATGTACATATTGCATTGATGCAGGAAGCATAGTCTGAATAAACCCATTTTAAATATGGCAGCTGCATTTATTATCTGTTGCACATAAATCTGAAGTACTGTTATGTACTTTTTTTTTAAATTGCTTGCTACCTATTTGCACCTTATGTTCGTTCTATTGCTTTGTGTAGATGACCTTGTGTGGATGAAGCATGATCTTTAAATAGTTGACTTTGGCTCAGCTTCAGATTTGACTAACTTGCGTAAAAGTTGATTATATTGTGCAAGGTGCATTTTCTAATTCTTGGTTCGACTTTTATTGGTCAGTTCTGATTTCCTGCTTTTCTATGGTAGCCCCAAGAAATTCGGAAGCCCCGCCGCGGTGGTCTAGTGGCTAAGGTACTCGGCTGCTGACCCGCAGGTCGCGGGATTGAGTCCCAGCTGCGGTGGCTGTATTTTCGATGGAGGCGGAAACGTTGTAGGCCAGTGTGCTCAGATTTGGGTGCACAATAAAGAACTTCAGATGGTCTAAATTTCCGGAGACCTCCACCATGGCGTCTCTCATAATCATATCGTGGTTTTGGGACGTTAAACCCCACAAATCAATCAAATCAGTTTTTCTATGGTACTTGTAGCATCATCTGGTGTGAATGCATATGGTAGTCCACATCCAAAGAAAACTCCTAGTTAGTTTTCAGAAGCTCCTATAAGCCAATGCTTAAAGGGACACTAAAGTCCTAAATGATTTTTTGTGCATTAGTAAAGTGCAATTTTACAAAACCAAAAATACCACTTTTACTGTGACACGACTCTTGATAAGCAAGCAAACTCTCGAAAAAAAATTGTGGGTGGAGGCTTCGCGAGATTCTGGCACAAAACACCATGAAATAGTAATGTTACACAAGGTAAGGTAACTTAATGGGGGGTTTTTGATGGGCCTTGAGTCAGCGATCACAGTATAATGATGATGATCTCCACCGCCATGGCTCGTACCCACTAAGGGGAATCGCAGTGGAGGCAACGTCGTCTTCCTTCTCTATCCGCGCTTCCCTTGTTTTTCCTGGTAGTGATACCCCGTATCATTCTTCCCGTTTCAGACGAAGCCCTCTGGGCGAGTCATTCTTGCATCCTTTGTGTAAACGGCTTCAGGCGGGCAACATGCGTCACCTCTGTCTTGCATGAACGTCGGCCACTAGCGGCGACACGTGCAATTTCATAGTTGACCTCGCTGAGACTACGGAGTATCACAAAAGGACCGGCATAGTGTGCCAGTAGCTTTTGGCTCAAGCCACGTCTGCGTATTGGGGTCCACACCCACACTAGATCACCGGGGGCATAGGTTACATGCCTGTGTTGACTGTCGTAGAGAGTTTTGCAGGACTCTTGGGCTGCCAGTGTAAGTGAGCAGGCAAGTCGACTTGTCTCTTCCGCACGACACAGTTTCCGCAATTGTTAAATCGTCATGGACGACAAAAGGAAAGATAGTGTCCAGCGTATGTCGAGGTGAGCGAGCGTAGAGCAGATAGAAAGGGCTTGTAGCCTGTCGTTTCGTGTTTCGACGTGTTGAAGGCGTACGTGACGAATGGTAATACTTCATTCCAGTTTTTGTGGTCGGAGGCGACGTACATTGACAACATGTTGATCAACGTTCGGTTTGTGCGCTCGATGAGGCCGTTAGTTTGTGGATGATACGCAGTTGAGTGTCGGAACTTGGAGGCACACAAACGAAGTAATAATTCGACAATATCAGCAGGTAAATTGTCGTCCACGGTCACTTATTATCACTCGAGGAGGTCCGTGTCGTAGGATGACTGAATGCAACAGGAACTCCGAAACCTGGACTGCCGTGGCGTAGCTTAAGGCAGCCGTCTCTCAGTACCGCATCAGGTAGTCGGCGCATACCATTATCCACCGGTTACCTTTTGAGGAGCGTGGAAATGGTCCCATCAGATCAGTGCCGACCTTGTCAAAAGGGGAACCAGGGAGGCTTTACAGGTTGCAGGTGACCAACTGGACCCGAGGAGGGCCGCTTGTGGACTCTGGCACTGCGTACAGCTGGCCACGTAGTTTTAAATCGTTTTCCTCATTTTCGGCCAATAGAATCGCTCTTTCGTGCGGCAAAGTGTTCGTTCGGTGCCTAGATGGCCAGAGGTGGGGTCATCATGCGTGAGACGCAGAACAGACGCTTGGAGGGATGCAGGAACAACCAGCAGAAAGCGGGCGCCCGTCGTGGACAAGTTTCTCTGGTAAAGAAGACCATTTCAAATGCAGAATCGGCCTTCGTTTAATGAATTTCTCGCTCCAGGGAAGAGAGCTTTTAAGCTTGGGTCATTACGCTGCTCAGCGGCCAAGGTCACAACATCGGGTAAGCCAGACGACAGAGAAGCGATAAGGTGCTCAAAGTTATCCGCTTCACAATCTGTCGATGGTAGCGGCATTCTGGAGAGGCAATCCGCATCAGCGTGTAGACGGCCAGTCTTGTATGAGATGGTGAAGACATGTTCTTGTAAACGAATGGCCCATCGTGCGAGGCGGCCGGATGGGTCACGAAGGTTGACCAGCCAACACAGGGAATGGTGATCTGTGACGATAGTGAATGGGCGACCATAGATGTATGAGCGAAATCGTTGCACGGCAAAGACTACCGCTAGGCATTCCTGTTCGGTCACTGTGTAGTTGCATTCAGGCTTGCTTAAAGAACGACTTGCCTACGCCACCACGTGTTCCTTCTTGCCAGAACGCTGAACGAGAACGGCACCGATACCAATGCCACTTGCGTCTGTGTCATTCCGTGGGCGACGAAGGATTGAAGTGCCGAAGTATTGGCTGCGAAGTTAACAAACACTTCAGCTTGTAAAAAGCGGCATCACACTCGGAGGTCCACTGAAACAGGCTGTTCTTGCGTAGAAGGCTCGTCAGGGGTTGAACGACATCCGCAAACTTGGGTACGAACCGGCGGAAATACGAGCAGAGCCCGATGAAGCTACGCAGTTGTTTCACAGATTTATGACGCTCAAACGATGCAACGGCCGCTGTCTTTTGTGGGTCAGGTCTAATGCCATCTTTGTCGACGAGATGTCCTAACACCAATGTCTGTCGCTCGCCAAAGTGGCACTTTTTTTAATTCAATACAAGGCCAACTTTTTCAATGCAGCTGAGCACGAGGTCTAGGCGAGTGTTGTACTCCTCAAACGTACGTCCAAAAATTACGACATCATCAAGGTAACACATGCATATATGCCATTTTAAACCACGCAATATAGAGTCCATAAATCTTTCGAATGTCGCAGGAGCATTACATAATCCGAATGGCATAACGTTGAACTCGTAAAGTCCGTCGATCGTAACGATTGCCGTCTCTTCTTTGTCAGCTGCGTGCATCGGAATTTGCCAGTAACTTGATCTCATGTCGACAGATGAAAAGTAGGACGCGGAATGCAGGCAGTCCAGAGCGCCATCGATGCGTGGCAGTGGATAGACGTCTTTTTTGGTAACAGAATTCAGTCGGCAGTAGTCAACGCAAGATCTCCACGTACAATCCTTCTTCCTCACTAGAATGACGGGAGCAGCCCACGAACTTGCCGATTCCTGTATTATTCCATTTTCCAGCATTTCTTGGGCTTGCTCGTTGATGATCTTGCGCTTCGATGGTGCCACTCGGTAAGGTTTCTGCCTAATGGGATGCACTGACTCGGTGTGGATCTGATGACGTATCCGGGACACTAGGATTAAGGGCCTTTGGCTATTTTTAGAAAAATCGAACACTTTTGAGTGCTTAGATAGAACGTCGAGCAGAGTATGACGTTCGCTTTGGTCAAGTGACTTGCTGACCATTTGTAGCAATATGGCATCTTCTGAACCTTCTAAGCCTAGATGTTCATTTTGGCTTGTAGCATCAACAAGTGCAACCAACGTCGTACATGATTCGGGTCTAAATACTGCAAGTTTCATGCCACCTGGCAGAATTGCAGGCTCCATGGAACTGTTCATTGTCCACACACCTGCCCGTTCATCAACGACTGACACTATACAATGGGGAATGTGAATGTTCTTTTTCAGGCATGCCAACGGAATCGGTTCGAGCGTGGCTTCGAACGTGCCACAGTTGTTGCTGGAACATGTCGCGGGAACACACACAGCAGAAAATGCAGGAACGACTGTGTCCACGGAGACTGAAAAAGATGCATTCCTCCGGACAGGAATTTTCCAAGAGCGCGGTTGGGAAAGTACCGTGTATAGAAAGATGCCCACTTCTGCAGTCTACAGTTGCCCCACACTCACACAAGAAGTCAGTACCCAAGATAACGTCATGTGTAGACCGCGGAATAACTGCAAACTCTGCGCAAAACACCTTGCCACACAGCGAGACGTCCACAGTACAATATCCCACCGGACACAACACGTCACCACTTACACCACGAAATGTCACCCCACGGTTCAGGCAAAACATCACTTTTGGTTCTAGCAGATTCTTAATATTTACACTCGTCACCGAGACTGTCGTGCCTGTATCCACAAGTGCCATAGTAGCCATTCCATCGACAACTACATGAACTTTGTTCTTCGACATAAACGCTGATGGGGGTATATCTGTAGATAGCACCTGTGATCTCGCGGCCTCACCCCCACTGGCCGCACCGACTAGTTTTCCTGCGGCGGTGTAGGTGCGCGTCGTCCGTTGCGACGGCGATTGTGGAGCACGGGGAGCTGGTGGTGGCGTCAAACTACAATCAGAGGCCGGCGAGGGGCAGCGTGACTCGGTAGGTGCGCGTGGTTTCCGTGACGTGGAGAGCGAATGGTCGAAAGGTTGGTGAAACATGTGCCAAGACTGTCGCTGATATGGGCGATGGTCACGAAAACGTGCAATGTGACCTGGGACGCCACAGTTGTAGCATACCGGAATTGGTCGAGGGGCACGTGGCTGCTCAGAGTAACGACTCCTCTCGGAAGGCATGGGATAGTGGTGCCGCCCTTCGGGGGCACTGTAGACAGGCGATGTTGGGTAAACAGGCGGGCAAAAACTTCGTTCGTAGTTGGGAGGTGGTTCGACGGGGGAATCCAGCCTGCCGTGTGCCTTGATAT